AAAGGTCCATGACCTAGCTCTGAAAAATCTGAGCCTTTGAAAACTCTATGGAGCACAATTATAATATGACAAGCATGCAGTTATCTGGGGTTAGGGTCACCTAAACCACAGCCAGTTTGGAGTGACTTTGAAGACCTCAAAGGTTCAAAGTTCCAAGGAACAACTTATGGTCTGGAGAAAGCCTCAAGGGTAAGCAATCACTTCCCTTTTTAAATCCTGAACCTTTTAAAGTCACTTTATTTAACAAGATATTGATAGTCCATAACACCCTGCTCCCCTTCCCTGAAAACATCCCAGTGGACCCACCGTGTCCTGTGATGTCCCCGGCAACCAAGATTATGCTGTCGCAGCCCCAGCAGCGAGTGTTTTGCATCTGTCCAATTATTCAGCTTCATCAGGTTTTATAATGTTGAAAGTTTGTTTACATCACATCAAAAACAAAAGAAAACTTCATAGATATATGTAGCATATTTCACCTGGAGGATGATAATAAAAGATCAAAATCTGATCTCTCCCTGTACTCGGCCACATTAGCTCTAACACACAGCTTTCCTTCTCAGAACTTCTTTTCTTAATTTTTGTATTCAGAGTGCCTTACATGAAGTAGGTACTCCCTAGATACTTGTTTATTGAAAGTTTGGATGAATTAATAAAAGATGTTTTCTACTTGCCTTTTGACAAAGATTGCATTTTAAAGACTGAAGCTAGAATCAAGGGGACGTTTGATTAGGAGGCTGCCCTAGGTCTGATCTAGGAGGCATGGAGCAATTACAATGAAAAGCATGGTGTTAGAGAGAGAACAGTGCAAGACAACACATGAGAAAGTACTGAAAAGAAATTCTGGGCACTTAAATTCTTGAATGTCAATAAGTCTTGGAAAACATAGTGTGTACATATAATTTCCCTGTAAGTCTTATGTTCTCTAGCCAATATGAAATGTATTTTACTTTAGTTTTTACATTTTTCCTCATTTTGTTAAGTTATATATTTTATGAGCAAAGCATTTAACTCATAGTAAAGGCCCTGACTCTGTTCTTACTAGCTATATGTCTTGAAACAAGTTGATAGACATAAGCATTCAGGAAAGTAGAATTTTTAATGGTTTACCTGCTAAGAATTTCTGGCAGAAAAAACATACATGAAAAAAGTTTTAAATGTACAGTTTATTATTTTGAGTTATTATAACTTTAAACTGTTGTTGTTAAGTACTGTTGTGTTGGAATTGACCTGTAGCTGTCCCTCCAGCTGGTTTTCAGAGGCAGTAAATTGCCTGAAAGGAGATTGCCCATGGTTGGTAGTGTGTTCAGCCCATTATATTCCCACTTTAAAAAAATATATATTTTTTTGTCTTTTCCCTTCATTACTAAAATGAGTCATATATTTCACTGTGATATAAAATTCCATTTAAAAAAATTCGTTTAAGTCCCTTTTGAGAAAGTGGTTAACAATTTAGTTCAAAAGACTTATTTGGAGTTGAAAATAAATGAGCTCTACTTAGCAAGTAAAATTGTCACTCAAGCATTATGTGTTTTGTGTCATTACAAATAGGAAGCAATATATTAAAGTATAGCGATTCCAGCACAAGTGCCCCAAGGCACATAATAAAGATAAATTATGAGAATGATGTTTCATAAGTATTTTTTTTTATTGTGGCAGGAGTGGCAACTACTTCCTAAACAACATGCCTCTGGAAACTCTATGAACTTTGAGAAATGACAATAATTATAGAAAGGTTTCAGGTCTTTTGTTCATAGGGTTGCTATGAGTCGTGCTCAACTCAATGGCTGTCAACAACAACAACAACATGTAGATATATATTTCAAAGCAGTTGCTATTTCGACATTTTTTAAATATACAATTCAGTGACATGTATTATGTTTATATGGGTTTTTAAAGCTGTGTCCTTTCTGCTTATTAAAAATATAAGAAAAACCTTTATTTCTCTTGCCATTTTTATGAGTTGGGATTACTCATAACTGGGCCTTCAGTGGGTTTCCAGAGGCAGTAAATTGAACCAGAGTTGATTGCCCATCTTTCTGCCATGGAATAGCTTGGCTAATTCAAACCGCATCCCTTTGGGTTGACAGTGCAATTCCTAACTGTAGAAATTATCACTCTCTTTTTTCATTAAAATATAAGACTTTTTTATTAAAATATAAGACTTCCTCCATAAAGCTTCAGTTCTCCAATTTTTAATAAAGCCCAGTTGAACTCACCTGAATTTATAACATACAGAATTATTGGCTCATAATAAGTATTATTTTAAGTCACTAAGTTTGCTGTGACTTACCAAATACACTTACCACATCTACTGCTACTCTCATTCTTTCATTCATTCACTTCAGCTACTGTTAACCTCCTGACTGCACTGACTTTCCCCAATGGTAGGAATTCTCTTCGACATATATACATTATGAGATTCCTCATTTGCTTCAGTCTTTTCTGAAATGTCCCCTTCTCAATGAAGCCCACTAGGCCCACCTCTGCCACATCCTACCACCCTTACATTTCTCAAAACTCAAACTCATTGCTATCTAGTCAGTGTCAACTCATAGTTGAGACTCAAGCTGGTTTTGGAGGCTATAAATTTCACAGGAAGGGACTACCCTTTCACCTGCAGAGCTGCTGATGGATTTGAACTGACCACCTTTAGGTTAACAGCACAACTCCCTATGGACTGCATGCACCACCAGAGTTTCCTCTTATACTTCTAGTTTTCTTTTTTCCTAAAGTGCATACTGCTTTCTAATATAACTATATAAAAAACTTATTTATTTCATCTACTACTGTTAGACACGTTGTTGGGGTCAAGTGCTGAAGAGTTGGAGCTGACTCTTAGCTGACCCTCCAGCAGGTTTTCAGAGGCTGTTAATCACACCAGAGAAGACCCCGCAGAGCAGCTGGTGGATTCAACAAGCCTTCCTTTGGGTTGGCATCACAACTCCTTACCCACTCGACTACCAGAGCTCCATGCTACTAGGCATACGTCCTCATAATGGGAAGGATCTTTGCTTTTCTTACGTATGCATCTTACATATGCATTTTCTTACAAGCATCTGGAATTGTTTCCCATAGTTTTGCAAATCACTTATAGACACTCAGAAAAATATTTTCAGAGTAAAATAAACTAGTGTTAAGTCATAGTTGAGTTAATGTAATACTGTCAATGATTTTGCCTCGTTTGGAGCAACAATCAACACCTTTGGTATCAGCAGTCAAGAAATCTTATATGCTTGTGAAAGTTAGATAATGAGAAAGACTGAGGAAGAATTGCTGCCTTTCAATTATGGTGTTGGGAAGAATATGCAATATGTATGGACTGTCAAAAAAGCAAGCATTTCTGTATTGTAAGAAGTGCAGCCAGAGAGACAAGGATGGTGAGGCTTTGTCTCGGGAACTTTGAGCATATTATCCAAATAGACCAGTACTTGAAAGAGGGATCACGCTTGAAAAGGTGAAGAACCAGAAAACAAAAGCTGTTCCTTAAAAATATCAGTGACTGAAACAATGAGCTTAATCAGAGCAGAAATTGTGAAGATGACACCAGATCAGGCAGAGTTCTGATCTTTTGTTCATAGGGCCGCTAGGAGTCAGAATTGACTCCACAGACCCAGTATAGAAAAACAAATAAATGAGGACATAATTTGAAATGAAGACGTTTGGATGAAGAAGGTGGCACTAAGTTAGACTTAAGGCCTCCTGGATTCATTTTGGAAAACTATTGCTAATAAAAATTTAACTAGATACCTTTCAATATGCCTTCAAAATGAAAACTGAGACTTACTACCATTGAGTCAGAATTGACTCATAGCTGACCGTCCACTGAGTCTCAAGACTGTAAGTCACACAGGAGATTGTCTGTCTTCCTCCCAAGGAGCCATTGTTGTTGTTGTTGTTGTTATGTGCCATCGAGTCATTTGCTACTCATAGCGACCCTACGTACAAGAGCTCTAAATGCTGTTCTATCCTGTGCTAACCTAGCCATCTCAAACGCACTTATTCCCACCACTCCAGTCATTAGTGGGTTGAAACCACCAGAAAGGAGCGGCCTTTAAAATTCTATAATTCCATCATTTTCTGATCTCTACACATACTGTTTTTTGAAAGTTGTTTCAAGAATCCCTCTCCAAATTTATTAATAACCCTATCTCTTAATCCTCTCTCAATCACAAATTCCTTGTGTTCGTCTTGAATTATTACTTCAGAACATCTCCACGTAGATACCGCACCATCACCTGGAACTCAGCCCGTCGACAGTCTCATCATCTTCCTTGTGCTAGATTCTATTCTTCCCTCACAAGAAGCTGTTTTCTCTTCCTTCCTTCTGTAAAGTCTGAGTCAATTTCTGGATCCATGCCCACTTTCCAATTTTCTCTCATTGTTGCTTTTCCTTTCATTCTCCCTGACATTATCCTTGTTCAGTATATACATCTTGATTACATGGACATTACCAGTTTTTTCTGCGTCTCATTATCTATACCCCTGCCACCTAACTAGATCTACATGTGAACGTTTATTAATCCTCTTAAAATGAATTCAAATATCCCTTGTCCCTTCAAAGTCTTCTCATGAGTCTCCACAGCATACATGGTAAAGAATCAAGCAAACCACAAACCCACAGGGAGGCATGGATGAGATCAGCCTGCCATTCTCTTACTCTCCAAAAATCTCTCTTTTTGATACATGCACTCTATTGAGGACCCACTATTGGGCTCAGTGCAAGAACAAGTGTTGTAAACAAAGGAAATATGGAGGTAAGGCTAGTGTAACAACATTTTAGAAAAAGGACTGATTTTTCAGGATGTTTTGTAGCTTTTGCAATGAGCAACTAAGGCATCTACTTTGATTTTACCTTATTTCTCTATGGGCAAATATATGTTACTTTGGGAATTAATTCTCATAGGTAGTAAGCTGTGTATTAAATATACCAGTTGAAGTACCTGTAACCCAATCCTTGAATGAGACTCTAGGTAATCTGTGTTTTTCATTTGTTTCTGCAGGGAGCCCCGCAAGGTGGTCCTACACAAAGGCTCCACCGGCCTTGGCTTCAACATTGTGGGCGGGGAAGATGGAGAAGGTATTTTTGTGTCCTTCATTCTGGCCGGTGGACCAGCAGATCTAAGTGGGGAGCTTCAGAGAGGAGACCAGATCCTATCGGTGAGTTTTACTCTTCCCTCTTCTTTCCTGGCTCTATGGTGGAAAAAACACTATCAGTTATGGCTCAAAAATTACTTTACGTGCAAAAGAAGAATGAATGGGAACTTTATAGTTTTAACTGTGTGCTACAGTTTAAATGGTATTCCGCTTAACTTTCTGAAGAAGGTAAAAGAACCAGTTAGTTTTCTCTTTTAGATTTATGGGGCATATGTTGCAAACATATGTCCATCATACTTGGAAGGGTGGAGGGACAGCACAAGAGAGGAAGACCCTGGATGAGATGGATTGATTCAGGGACTTCGGTAATGAGGTAGGTATGTCAAAGACAATGAAATTGACTCAAGATAGAGCAGAGTTTAGAGCTGCTGTATATAGGGTCTCTATGAATTAGAGTCAACTTAATGGCATATAACAACAGCTTATTCTGTTATTTGAAGATTAAAAATTATAGTTTTTAAAAAACTGGTTTACTACTTAAAAAATTTAAAAATGAAGTTCTTATTTTCTAGAAGTTCTTATTTTCCAAACACAGGACCATACTCTATAAGTTGCATCTTTGCAGTATAGTGTGTAGTTTTCATGACTATAACTATTTAGAGATACACATGAAATTATGCTAGACCAAGGATCTTGTACTGGGTTCTCTAGAGAAGTTAAATCATTCATTTAAATTTTCATTGAATGATCCGCTACATCAATCTACCTCCCTAGTATAAATTCTATGATAGAGAATTAAAGTCATTGTAAGTATCATGCTCGTGTTATTTTTTTGTAATCATGTGAATAATAATGGAGCATTGCAGAGGAAGTACAGCATCATGACTGAGGATATGATTCATAAATCAATGAAATACTTAGATTATGGCTTTCATTGTGTGCTTAGAAAAATTCATTTTCATGTTATAGAATGGTTTATAGTTATAATTTACTAAGTCACTTTATATTTGTTAATCATTATTTTCCTCAACACAAATAGAAAGATTTCCCTCTCCCTTCATATTCTCTCTCTCTCTCTCACACACACACACGTGTACTCAACTTACCTATATAATGTACAATGTATAGGTTGATCTGATTAAAGTGTCTGCCACTCTGTATGATGACCTGGCCTATGAGTCCTTATGATTCTCTCCCAAATTTAACTTTTACTGACCCATCAGATAACAGATCTTTTGTAGCAGTATGGAGTAAATAGGATCAGGTCCCTTTTCAAGACCTCAGTCTGCCATATAGATTGAACTTCCCTCTTCTAACAATTTCCCCTAAACCTATGTCTTAAACAGTAAAAATAATAGTTATGATATAATTATTTCTTAAATTTTATTTCGCTTTCTTGGTTACATGTCTGCCATCCTCAATTAGATGA